AATCTTCTGCATCTCTACCAAAATCTTACTTATACTAGAACAGCTCTCTCATTACTTCAGATCTACAAAAATATAAGGTGCTCACGTAGTCATTCCCACAATGCTAGTGAATCAAATTATAGTGTGCTCTGAATAAGTGATTATATTTCTGATCATGAGATCCCCTCTTTTATTCCAGCTAAAAATATCTGGGCAAAGAGACCCAACTGTGCCTTAGAAGACACTGGGTATTTCTTTTGATGCGGAAGAAACATGTACCCTACACTTCCCTTTATTGATTGATTGATTGATTGATTGATGTTATTAATAGGTCTAATTTAGTGCTAAACTTTAAACTTTCCCTGGAAGTAAAGTTCTCTGAATGCTTCATTCCACCCCCCCAAATTGTTGTCTAGAAGAGAAAAACAAGATCTCAAGGAAGAACACAATACTGATCTGAACATTCAGTGTATATAGCTTTAGAACATGAAAACATTTATGGTTTTTAAAATATGTTATATCTTGCCTGGCAAAATTTTCTTAGACTACATTACCCAACAGCAAATCCAACCTGTGACTAAGTTCCTTTTCTCTCAGACTGGCTTGTTTCACTTATTTCACTCTCCAGATCCATCCATGTTTTTGCAAATGGCAAGATTTCATTCTTTTTTAAGTCTGAAATATCCCACTGCCTACACTTCCCTTTAACTGGAAGACATGTTTGGGGATCACTGGCCTCACTTCTGACCCTGAAATTAGAAAAACTCTTCCTTTTACTGCTTATATACCTAATCTGTGGTCTTCTATCAATTTAAAAAGACATGTCAGAACTCTGAAGGTTATGATTTTGGATGGCTGGTTACATACAACTCTAGAGTAGATAGGAAGGGTTTGGTGGAGGCTTCCATCAGAACCTTTTTAGCTTAGGTTGGAGTAGCAGACCTTGAAAAAGCAATTCACAATCTTTCTATACTTATCTCTACCACTCTCAATGTTTTTATCTGAGCTTTTGAACATCAACAAACCCAAACAGATAGCCTAGCAGAAATAGCCCTACAAAAACTACAGAGCCCTTACCCTCTTCACTGTTCAGAAGAGAGGAACCCGTGCCCTACTTGGAGGAGAACTTTGTTTTTAGGCTAGTAAGTCAGGGAAAATAAACACAAGAACTAAAAATAATGAAGGACAATATCAAGTTGCTAGGCTCCTGGAACTTGGGACATTTTTGATCAGCTAAATATAGCAGGTGGGGAAGCTGGTCGAGAAGTGCATTTCAGTCAATAGCTATCACTGGGCTTTTGGTCCCTAGATTAAGTTTTTAATTAAATATCTACTCTTTGGTATCAGTCAAAAAATGCCTTATTCCCAAATGTATGTACAAAATAAAATTCTTTTCCTTTCAAAGACCTTTGCTAGAATTCAACTGACCGTGGGAACTAAATTGTCCTCCATCAGAGAGATATAGCTGAGATTTTTCATTCTCAATGTTCTTGTTGTTCAAGAGAGGCAAGTGAAATTCTATATCGTTGCCCTCCTCCGTGGGACAAGACCCCTGAGGATGGTCCTCCTCAGCTTAATGGGAGAAGACACCTGTGCACTACTTTCCTAAGCTCCATGGGACATAGAATACGAGCTATCTAGGAGCCAATTACACTTAAAAAAAAAAAAATCTGAATGACATAATTGACCAGAGGTGTTTCCTGAAAAAGATCTTGATCAAAAGGGGGAAGGGGGAAGGAATTTCAGTCTAAAATGGAACCAGAGGACATAAAATGGAAAAATCTCATGCGTGTGTCCTTAGGAAAACAACACTTAAGGACTGAGAGACTGATTTAAATATAGCCTACTCCAAACCTTCAACAGACTCGCCTACAGCTTGCTATAGTTTGTGTGCCCTGAGTTGCAATTCCTCTGCTATTCCTGAATACACTCATCTTTTTAACAAGTTTGAGCTTGCCTCAGTTTACCTCTTTGTTTAGGTCAACAGTAGTACTATATTTCTTGTCTAACTCATGGAAAACATGTTGAAATTATGAGTCTAAATCATTCATTTTTAGGGGAAAACATAGTCCTGCCACTTAACCAAAAACACGGAGATGAGACCTGGCATGGTGATGCGTTCATTCCAATAATGCTGCTGTTTGAACAAGGACAGAAAATAAGCACAACAAGCTGTTGTAATAAGAAGAAAAATTAATCCCCGGAATCATTTTGTGACTAGCAGGTTTAGGAACCCTTAACCAGCTCTGTCATTCTGAGGGTTACTCATAACTCAAGCAGTTCATTTGACAACCCATATTCTTGTGGGAGAAAAGGTGGTCCTGGCGATAGGTAGGAATACCAACTGCTTACCCCATTCTAAAAGTGCCATGTAGGGATGTAGCAATTATTTGATACAAAAAGAAAATTTTAATTTAATTTCATATCGAGATTTAGTTGGTCATTTCAAAATATTTCTCGACCCAGCAAAGGAAACATCAACCTTTGGGTTGGCAATCAGCATTCTGAATTGAGGTCGACTGAGTAGAAAATAGGAACATAACGTATATATTGTATTATGAAATGATAAACAGATTCCTACTTACTAAAATATCCGGTAAGTTCTGGGTGAGCCATAATGGTTGATAACAAGACCCTATCTACCAGTTAAAATAAACTGCAATCATCCATTTATTAACTCAGTAGGCAATTATTGAGCACCTCTATGTGCCGAGAATTGTTTCATGCCAGGGTTTCATGGAAATACTAGTGAATAAGGCAAAGATGAATCACCACCTTCCTAAGTGTGAGACAGGGAATAAACAGGTAAAAATAGATGAACAAGGAATAGAAAATAGTGGCAAAAGCCGGGATAAAAATGGAACAAAGGATGAGATAGAGAGTGAATGTGAGATGTAGGCAAAAAACCCACTTTTGATGGGATGGTCTTAGAAGAGCTCTTGGAGAACTTGACATTTAAGCTGTGGCAGTCATGGAAAGGTCTCGGCAAAAAGCATTCTAAGCTGAAGGAGAAGCAAATGCAAAGACCCAGAATCAATTTGGTGTGCTGGGGAGACAGAATGAAAGCCAGTGAGCGAGCGTGTGGGAAAAACGGGGTGAGCAAGAGTGGTTCATGCACTGCCTCAAGCCTTAGTGAGGAGCTGGGATGTCACTTTAAAGGTATTGGGGTGCTACTGGAATTCTTAAACAGAAAAGCAATGTTATCCATATAATATAATATAATATAATATAATATAATATAATATAATATAATATAATATAACATAATATAACATAATATAACATAATATAACATAATATACAATATATGTTGTTGTTTTTTTAAGAAGGCTCCACACCTACCACAGAACCCCATGCGAGATTTGCACTCATGACCTTGAGATCAAGACCTGAGCTGAGACCGAGAGTCTGACACTTTACTAAGTCACCCACGTGCCCTAGGTCCAATTTATATTTTAAAAAACTTGCTCTAGCTGGTGTGTGGTGGGCATATTATTGTGAGGCAAGAGGGGAGGCAGGGTCACCAGCTGGGTTGACACTGTGGTCATCCTGTAAGAGATGCTGGTTCCTTGAACTAGAAAGTAGCCATGAGGAAGGAAAGAAGTAAGCCTCAAAATCCTGTAGTTCTTTTTTTTTTTAATTTTTTTTTTTAACATTTATTTATTTTTGAGAGACAGAGCATAAGAGGGGGAGGGGAAGAGAGAGAGGGAGACACACAATCCAAAGCAGGCTCCAGGCTCTGAGCAGTCAGCACAGAGCCTGACACGGGGCTCGAACCCACGAACCGGGAAATCATGACCTGAGCCAAAGTCTGATGCTCAACCAACTGAACCACCCAGGCACCCTAAGATCTTGTAGTTCTTATGTTAAGTTTGTATGGCACTATTCTGATACTGTCTGTTGACTTTTTGCCTCTTCTGGTAGACTATCATATATTTTAACTGCTACCATTTATAAAGTGTCCCACGTTGCTCTGGGCTTTATACACATTGAATCCTTAGAACAATTTCATTCCAAGCTCATGGGTGAGGAGGTTCACTAACTCCCCAAGGCCACAAAACTGGCGAAGGTCATAGTAAGATTTACCTCGGTCTGTCTGATTCTGAGCAAGGCACAACTCAGCCAATACACTATAGTGTCTTAATTTAACCTATGCGAGGGGCAGAGTTAGCCCAGGGAAATTAGAGCACAACTGGGTTTCTTCAATGGTTCTTAGAAGGAGAAGGGCAGTAAAACTACCAGGAAGGGAAGCCCTAGTTTCAAGTGCTGATTCCTGGGCCCTGTCCTGAGAATGCAGAATTAGAATCTCTAGGTTTGGGGCTTGGGGATGTGAATTTGAAAAATGCTCCCAAGGGACACTTACTCAAATCTGTGGATGCTGCAAAGTATTTGTTGGCTGGATAACCCCTGATCCAGAGAAAATAGAGACCCACTTTGGATGGGTCCAAGCAGAGTCTCAGCTAGCCCCCTCAAATCCACTTGGAATTCATAGTGTGACTAATATATTGTTAATGATATGATATACTCCGGCCCTCTGGAAGCTTTCTATTTTAAATAATTACTCTTGATGATGAGGTACTAAGTTCAGTTGTCTCCCAAGCTGAGGAATCATAAGCCACTCACCTGGTAAGCATCATATACTTCAAAGGCAAAACAATCTTTTTTAAAAAATTATTTTGAGCTTTCAGCTTTTTCAGGAAACACAAAGGAGTCAGTCCTTACTCCTAAAACCAACCTACCTATGAGACAGGCTGTACACAGTACGTAGAGCCCACAAGACTTTTAGGAGCTTGCAAAAATGTTTTCATTTTTTTTTTTTAAACCAGAAGATGAACATGAACATATTCTGGCCTAGATTATACTCAACTTTTACCAATGCAGTTGTAAAATATAACTTCTAATTAATTTTTTTTTTTTAAATCAAGAAACGTCCCCTGAAGACAACAGTGCCTAGGGCATGCAGAAGTCATAATGTGACCCTACTCACTCACAGTGCTGGGCCCAGGTGACAGACACCTTACCTGGCATGCATTGTATAGGAGCTGATGTTCAAACTTCTTGATCCCAAGAATGTTCTGGAACATCTCGTAGAGTTGCTCCTTGCTCAAAATCAGCTCAGAGGCTGCGCTGGCTGTCATCCGGGCCTGCTGCTTCCTGGGGTCCTCTTCCCCACGGTAGATGGCATCAAACTTGGCCATCCAGGAGCTCAGCACAGTCTCCTTGCTGAGGCCATCTATCTCGGGCAGGCTGCGCACCCTTTTCTCAATGTGCTTCTTGAAGACCTCCCTGGAGTCATTGGCGGAGCAGCCCCCGCTCTGGACCATGCGGGCCACACGGTCGCTCTTCAGGAACACCTAAGCAGGAACAGGGACAAGAAAGATATCAGGGACTCAGTCTCCCGGGGCTGACTGCAATCCTGGGTACCACAGAAGGGACCAGCGTGGGCTGTATCCTGCCCCACTACCTCCTAGTTGGGTGAACTCAGAGAAGTCACTTCCGTGTTTTGTTTTTGTGGCCAAATCTAGAAAACAAATAACAAGAGTACTTACCAGGTTGTTAAAGGGATTAAATGGGACGGTAATATCACGAGAGGCGGGATACGGTACACGGACTCCACACTCAAACAGCCTGGGTCCTTTCTCTGCCATCTAATGGCTGTGTTCCTCTCGTCAAGTTAACCTCTTTGTACCTCAGTTTTTTTCATCTATAAAATGGGATAATAGTAGTCTACCTCATAGGTATTTTGGGGGGTTTATTTATTTATTTTGAGAGAGAGAGAGAGAGACAGAGAGAGAGAAAGAACACAAGCAGGGGAGGGGCAGAGACAGAGGGAGAGAAATAGAATCCCAAGCAGACTCTGCACTGTTCAAGGTTAAGCCCAATGCGGGGCTTGAACTCATGAACCATGAGATCCCGACCTGAGCTGCAACGGAGAGTCAGGCACTTAACTGAGTCACTCAGGTGTCCCTGCATCATAGGTATTTTGAAGTGAGGATTAAACGGATTAATATACGATAACCACTTAAAAAAGTGGACCAGAGTAATGCCAGATGGCTTATTATGGTTATTTATTTTTTTACTTTTTAAATTGAACTACAGTCAACACATGATGTTACATTAGTTTCAGGCACATAACATACTGATTTGACAAGTTTCTACGTTATGCTACGCTTACCACCACGTAGCTACCATCTGTCAGCATAAACCCTGATACCACACCACTGACTATACTCCCTATGTTCCGCTTTTTATCTTCGGATTTACCTCCTAACCGGAAGCTTGTATCTCCCACTCCCCTTCGTCCATTTTGCCCATGCGGCCCCCTCCCTCCCCTCTGGCAGCCATCCGTTTGCTCTCGGTCTGTATGGGTCCGTTTCTGCCTTTTTGTTTATTTATCCATTTGTTTGGGTTTTTAGACTTCGCATATCAATGAAATCACACAGTATTTGTCATGTTTTTTTT